ACAACAAAACGGAATCTTGACAGGACAAAATGAAGAACGATTGCGTTTTTCCTTCCGGCTACCATTGTAGACATGAAAACTGCAATCGACTTAAATCTCATCAGCTAATGTGCCTTTGGCCATATCTTCATTCAGAGAGTGTTTGTTGAAGTCATCACCTTCAATCGTTGACATGAGCAGGACGTCTCTGTTTTGTGATGTTCGATGTATCTGCAACTTTTCAGCACTTGATTTATAAAGCACCAGGGACTGCATCGCAGAAGGAAATCTCCCTCTCTGAAAGCAGATGCCTCTAACTTGTGCCTCTCGGTAGTAATAAGCGGTTTATGTTCAACCAAATTTGTCTCACAGGTTCAGCCTCCTTTTCCCTAATCTCAATATCTACTGAGATCACCTGTGCCTGGAAGAGAAGAGAGTCGTTCCTTACTTGTTCTTGCCATTTAATCATCATTAGGCGTTGACCCCCCCCCAAATGCAGTGGCCGCAGTTCAGCCGTCGTTATTTCCATTTCGCTACAACAACATTCACTAGACAGAGACAAAATTCAAACGGATTTTGTAGGAAGAGTCTCATCGCTAATATTGAACATGTTTCTGGGCTAGGGTGATCCGCCTATTCAACTGGCTGGAGAGTGTCATCGCTGGAGATGATGGAGTTGAGATACTTTAACTGGTTAGCACCCCCAAAGGACTTCACTTGCCTGCTCCACTTCTAGATCATCTGTGTCAGATAGGTTCTTCATAACCATGAATAAAAGCTAGAAAAGCATATGTCGCATACGTGAACCATTTGGTAACAGAACCCCCTTCCCGTACTACTCATCAGGATAAAATTGTCTGTGTAGTTCAGATCAGCAAGATATCTAGCCAAATATCTTGTACTGCTTCCCTTCTAGAATTAGACCTTCGCCTTTTGCAGAACCATCACTGTTTCAGAGAAGAAAGTCGAGGACCCTGTTAAACAGTGACGAACTTCACACCAGGAATCAGTCATATAACTCGGCTCCAATTTTTGCATCAGAAACAGTTTCTGTGAACAACTCTTTAAAACCGGAAAAAAATTCATTCAGGCACCCCACAATACTTGTAGATTCTCCACATCGTCAGACCATGTACTGAATCAAATTCAGCTTTAAAGACGAAGAAATTGGCATAGGAGGGCAATTGAAATCGTGGGCATTGCCAAACGATCTCATGAAGACGAATATTTAGTCAAGGAATGAATACCCTGTCAGGAATACCGCCCAGTTTGGGCGGAATCTTTAATCAGCAACTTCTTTCAGCCTTTCGGTGATAATCCAGGAGAACACTTGCCTGGAAGTTGACAGTTATGTTATTTCACGCAGGGGCACAGATCGGCTGACTTTAAGCTGAAGGCGCAGCTAAAGGTATTCCGCCATACATCTCACAAACCTCAAATATACAAAGAATATAAGACATCATTGAACTGAATAGCGTATATGGCAGGCACTACTTTTAAACAGAATCAGCTTAAGCCGTGTCAGAAAGTGTGCCTTCGACTCAGGAGAAGACTACGGTAACGAACAAGGCCAAATTAACAACTGCGATGGAGGCATAATTCGTTGGAGACCGGATGGCTGAAACAAGTCGCTTCAATATCCATTATTTAACCTATCCCGGTCTGACTGAGATTTGACTATTATAAACAATATTCCTTGTTATCTGTAGGCTGGGGAGAAGAATTGCTATAACATGAGCAGCATTTAAAAGCCTGGTTTACTGCCGGCAGCTGCAGAGCATCAGCCAGACGGCAAAAGGCAAGAATGGCTTGATTCTTCAGATTACTGTGCAAGGCTGGAAGACGTATGTCATACTGAAAGAAGAGCAGCACCGGGTAAATGTTTTCGACTAAGGGTGGCTTAGCCCCTTAATTACAACAAGGTCATATTTGCATTATCCCACATGTCGTAACGATTGTTTTCATCATAAATTTAAGTACTTCAGTTCCTGGTTCTATGCCATGGTGAGGAGGGAAGCAAAATTAGAAGCATGCAACATCTTATACGAAAACCAGGCGAGAAGAAAAGAAGAAAGATATCTACCATCAGGGAGGAAGCACAAGAGACGGCAGTAAAGTGAAGTGCATGAAAGTTTAAAACGGATAGAGAAAACACTTCCAAACGCTACAAAGCTAGAAGCATTCCAGAGATACCACGAAACCAGGATCAATCGAAACGATCCCACGCGATAAAGTGGAACATGCATTGGTTGAATGAAGAATAGAAAACACCTTAGCCCAAACGGGATGCCCATAAAAACATGGAAAGTACCAAGGCAAGAAGACGACGTTTTGCTGTATGCACTGCTTGGCAAAAATTATCAGTGTAAAAGAAGCCGGAACCACTAACCTCACCGGTGAAAACTACCAGAGAATTAATCCGGTCAGGGACACCATGAAGCCATAGGAAAAACACTGGACAAAGATCTGAGGAAGGAGGTCGATATCATCCGGAACCAATCTTGCCCTATGCCAAGTTGGTCCACCTCACTATGCTGCTTTACGATCAGTCCTCGAAACATCGATTCATATGGTGTTCTTACACACAGAGAAAGCT